AAGGCCCTCTATTGCAGCAGATTCTGGTACAGAGACATGCAATAACTCCGATCACAACAAAAATTAGGGTTGTCACCAAAAACCCCATTTTGATTTGATTTGATTTCACCAATTGAAACCTCTCTGCAAACAAAAAAAACATTAAATTCAAATTCGATCTAAACTAAAGAAATCAAAATCATGATTCGATCTGAAACTACAATATCAAATCGTAAACCCTCGTATTTTAATTTCGTCTGCAAAATCTAAATCCGAACGATACAACAGAATTGGAACAACAACAAAAGAAGATTATAAATAGGACATTATACACATACTGATTAGGGAAGATAACCTTGAATCTCTAGAAGCTGCTTGTCGATTCGAGCTTCGATTTCGTAAATCGTTAATCGACGAAAGGGACTAGAGAGAGAGAGAGAGAGAGAGTCTGCAATAAACTCTGTCATACGATAATGAATTTGGATTTCTCTATCTTGAAAAAAACTTGCTAATGGCCCAGCTCAATAGTATAATGCAGAGCTTACAACTAGTCCGGCCCACGATTTAGTTTCCAGTTGGTTTTTAATGGGGTGGTCCAGGCCCATTTTAATTTTTTTCGTTCAACTCTATTGCACAAACAAAATTCCAAAAATCTAACATGAGAATAAGATCTAAGTTCTCGAGTTCGAGTCACTGCAAGGGCACTCGGGGTTTGCTCGGTCGTTAACTTCAAGACGCTGTGATTAGTCGAGGTGCATGTAAGTTATCACAAAATTAGGTTCTTCAAGTGATTCTAAATGCAATTCATTGGAAAATCTAGGACCCAATACCAAATTATGGCCTTTCTATGCGAACAAATCCAAAACTTACCACAATCCAATTATGACATATTAATTGAGTCAACTAACATCTACATCAAACAAAGTATTTAGCTTAAAACAAAAATCACCAAATGGGGTTTGCTAAAGATGAAAATTTCAATACACAAATCTGGAAATAATTAAGAAGACATTGAAAGGAGGTTGAATTGAAACATACAGATTTGCAAAAGGCCCTCTATTGCAGCAGATTCTGGTACAGAGACATGCAATAACTCCGATCACAACAAAAATTAGGGTTGTCGCCAAAAACCCCATTTTGATTTGATTTGATTTCACCAATTGAAACCTCTCTGCAAACAAAAAAAACATTAAATTCAAATTCGATCTAAACTAAAGAAATCAAAATCATGATTCGATCTGAAACTACAATATCAAATCGTAAACCCTCGTAATTTTAATTTCGTCTGCAAAATCTAAATCCGAACGATACAACAGAATTGGAACAACAACAAAAGAAGATTATAAATAGGACATTATACACATACTGATAATTTCATTTTCTCAGGGGTTTTTTTACACTGACAATTTCTGACACTTGATTCAATTACATCTCTGGCGTTTTAAAAATTACATTTCTACCTTTGTAGTTAATAATTTTGTTTTATAAACTCACTTACTTATATAAAAGATAAAAATTCCTACTAAACATTTTTTTAAAAATTACATTGAAAAAAATTAAAGTAAAGTAAAAGTAAAATAAAAATAAAAAAACAAATGAAGTAAAACAAAATAAGAAAAGAGAGAGTGTATGAGTTTAATATTTTTATTCTATTTAAATAATTACAATGGTAGGGGGTTAGTATAATTTTTCAAACAGTAAAGGTGATATGTATTAAACTCAAATACCAGGGGTGTAAGTGTAATTTATCAAAAAATAAAAATAAAATAAAATAAAATAAAATCTCCAATGGAAAAAAAAAAAAAATCTAGGCGCACAAACGACCGAACGCAGAAACTATGCATCCAAACGACTGCCCAAACGATCTGCCGGACAACCAGCCAGAGCTTGTTGACCATGACTGTCATAGTGCCTTCCGATCGTCCGAGCAATCGTTTGGTGGAACAATTTCTGTATTTGATTCTTTGTATGCATAGCATTGTTGAAAAAAATTATATTAAGAGCATCCACACTAAACTCTTCAAATTTTTAGTCAAATTAAAACTATTTCATTATTGCTACTCACCTTTTAGCACCTACTGCATCAAACTCTTTATTCTAACTTATTCTTATTAAATATTATTTTCTTATTGTGTTTGTTAGTCTTTCTTTTTTTTATTAAATTGATAAGTTACCAGCCAAACAATTCTTAAAAAAAAAAAAAAAGATTTGCTGTTGACCGGTTGACCGGCCGGACTTCCGGTGACACACAAATAGCGATGAACAGTGATTTGTTTGTTGTAACGAGTTACTGTAGCTATCGTAAATTTTGATGAGCTGTAAGCGAGTTTGCTGGAGTTGATTTTTTAAAATTTTTAGCTAAAAAATGATTTTGAAGAGTTTGATGCACATGCTTTAATAACCAGTTTTAAGTTCTCATTTTTATTATTAATTTTTTGGCTTTTTTAATTGGGTATTAAATGAGATCTTAATATAATAATAATACAGATGTCTCTCCTTAACCTTTATTTTATAATCTTTTTAATAATTGGCAAAATTTTAATTCTCTACAATAATTTTCATATTATTATTGAAGCAAGACACTAATCTCTCTCATCAATCTTGATGTGTCAAAATGTATTAATAATAGGGACAATTACACAAAGTTAGAAAAAATAAATTACATATTAATTAAAAAATTTATAATTTTTATGGGTAATGCTAGGGATGCAATATTTTTTATCAAATGAATGAACAAATATTTCACATAGGTGTTGTGAGACATTCATGGTCATTCATTTGATAGAAAATTTAGAATCTAAAGCATTTTCCAATTTTTATTATTAATATTTATATAAATTTTCATTGATTTCAAATTTGTTTTGGAAAACTTCACTGATGTGTAGTTTCCCTTAATAATACTTGCAAAGCCATAATTGTAAGATAAATCTTCAAAAATAAAGGGCCTTCAAAATTCTCTCCGAAGGCAATGCTCTCTAACCTAGTTTTTTTGGAAGTTTGTTTAAGGAAAAACTACCATTCAATGTATTATTAGAAAAATAATTACATATTCATTGAAAAACTTATGATTTTAATAATTAACATTAATAAAATTTGCCACTAATATATATTTACTTTTGTAAAAAACCAATGGTACTTTTCCCTATGTTTAACACATTTCTTGAGCCTAAATAATCATAAAAGAAATACGTATTAAACATGTAAATAATAAATAGGTGTATTACATACATCTGTCAAAAATATGAACAATTTGATTTGCCACAAATAAAGATTTAAAAATGCGTCAACAATTTCCCCAAATCATATAAGTGATTCCAATAGGATTTCCCAACTTCCTCTAGGAAAACTTTGAGGTAAACAACAATCCACATAAAGAAAGACACAATATTACTGAAATTCTTGATGATGAGATTCTCATTTCTTTCTTTATTCCTGCCATCCAAATGGTGTATGGAACGAAAATCTGATGATCTACCCATCACTCTACAATGTGTACTGCAAGTGTTGAAACAAAATGTTTTTTTTTTTTTTGGGTACTTCATGTTCTTCAATAACGACTTTAGTTGATTTTTGATTTTCAATTTTCTCTCATATCAAGCACAAGAAAATGTTTCCAACTAAAACAACACAGTGTAAACATTCAAACATTTATCAGTATGTGGCATTGTTTAGATCTCAAATTTGAATAAGACATTAATGATAGTTTTACAGCTAGTAGAGTCAACCACAATATGCAAAAACCAATCCAAAATTATTCGCACCAATAAGAAATTACATACAAATATGAGATGAGAAGATTTTGGGTACTTCATGTTCTTCAATAACGACTTTAGTTGATTTTTGATTTTCAATTTTCTCTCATATCAAGCACAAGAAAATGTTTCCAACTAAAACAACACAGTGTAAACATTCAAACATTTATCAGTATGTGGCATTGTTTACTTTCAGATCTCAAATTTGAATAAGACATTAATGATAGTTTTACAGCTAGTAGAGTCAACCACAATATGCAAAAACCAATCCAAAATTATTCGCACCAATAAGAAATTACATACAAATATGAGATGAGAAGATTTTGGGTACTTCATGTTCTTCAATAACGACTTTAGTTGATTTTTGATTTTCAATTTTCTCTCATATCAAGCACAAGAAAATGTTTCCAACTAAAACAACACAGTGTAAACATTCAAACATTTATCAGTATGTGGCATTGTTTACTTTCAGATCTCAAATTTGAATAAGACATTAATGATAGTTTTACAGCTAGTAGAGTCAACCACAATATGCAAAAACCAATCCAAAATTATTCGCACCAATAAGAAATTACATACAAATATGAGATGAGAAGATTTTGGGTACTTCATGTTCTTCAATAACGACTTTAGTTGATTTTTGATTTTCAATTTTCTCTCGTACCAAGCACAAGAAAATGTTTCCAACTAAAACAACACAGTGTAAACATTCAAACATTTATCAGTATGTGGCATTGTTTACTTTCAGATCTCAAATTTGAATAAGACATTAATGATAGTTTTACAGCTAGTAGAGTCAACCACAATATGCAAAAACCAATCCAAAATTATTCGCACCAATAAGAAATTACATACAAATATGAGATGAGAAGATTTTGGGTACTTCATGTTCTTCAATAACGACTTTAGTTGATTTTTGATTTTCAATTTTCTCTCGTACCAAGCACAAGAAAATGTTTCCAACTAAAACAACACAGTGTAAACATTCAAACATTTATCAGTATGTGGCATTGTTTACTTTCAGATCTCAAATTTGAATAAGACATTAATGATAGTTTTACAGCTAGTAGAGTCAACCACAATATGCAAAAACCAATCCAAAATTATTCGCACCAATAAGAAATTACATACAAATATGAGATGAGAAGATTTTGGGTACTTCATGTTCTTCAATAACGACTTTAGTTGATTTTTGATTTTCAATTTTCTCTCGTACCAAGCACAAGAAAATGTTTCCAACTAAAACAACACAGTGTAAACATTCAAACATTTATCAGTATGTGGCATTGTTTACTTTCAGATCTCAAATTTGAATAAGACATTAATGATAGTTTTACAGCTAGTAGAGTCAACCACAATATGCAAAAACCAATCCAAAATTATTCGCACCAATAAGAAATTACATACAAATATGAGATGAGAAGATTTTGGGTACTTCATGTTCTTCAATAACGACTTTAGTTGATTTTTGATTTTCAATTTTCTCTCGTACCAAGCACAAGAAAATGTTTCCAACTAAAATTTTTGACGTTTTAAAAATTACCGTCTTGTTTGGTTTGTATTTGAGAAACATGTTTTGACATAAAAAGTACGAAAATTTGTTTGGATTGATTTTTTTTCAAAAGATGTTTTGAAAAATTATTTTGAGAGAGAATTTTGAAAAAAGTGATTGATTTTATGTGTATGAGAGAGAGATTTGTTTGAAAAATTTGTAAACCAAACAAGTTTTGGAAAAAAATTTTAAGAAAATTTGTTTGATTTGATTACTTCTGAAAACTTATTTGTAGAGAATTTTTCTCAAATTTTTTTGATAAACACAAACCAAACAAGGCCTACATTTCTACTTTTGTAGTTAATAATTTTGTTTCATAAACTCACTTACTTATATAAAAGGATAAAAATTCCTAATAAAAAAATTAAAGAAATTACATTGAAAAAAAGTAAAGTAAAATAAAAAAACAAATGAAGTAAAACAAAATAAGAAAAGAGAGAGTGTATGAGTTTAATATTTTCATTATATCTAAATAATTACAATGGTAGGGGGTTAGTATAATTTTTCAAACAGTAAATGTGATATGTATTAAACTCAAATATCAGGGGTGTAAGTGTAATTTATCCAAAAATAAAAAATAAAAATAAAATAAAATCTCAAATGGAAAAAAAAAAAAAAATCTAGGCGCACAAACGATCGAACACAGAAACTATGCATCCAGACGACTGCCCAAACGATCTGTCAGACAACCAGCCAGAGCTTGTTGACCATGACTGTCATAGTGCCTTCCGATCGTCCGAGCAATCGTTTGGTGGAACAATTCCTGTATTTGATTCTCTGTATGCATAGCATTGTTGAAAAAAATTATATTAAGAGCATCCACACTAAACTCTTCAAATTTTTAGTCAAATTAAAACTATTTCATTATTGTTACTCACCTTTTAACACCTACTGCATCAAACTCTTTATTCTAACTTATTCTTATTAAATATTATTTTCTTATTGTGTTTGTTAGTCTTTCTTTCTTTTATTAAATTGATAAGTTACCAGCCAAACAATTCTTAAAAAAAAAAAAAAAGATTTGCTGTTGACCGGTTGACCGGCCGGACTTCCGGTGACACACAAATAGCGATGAACAGTGATTTGTTTGTTGTAACGAGTTACTGTAGCTATCGTAAATTTTGATGAGCTGTAAGCGAGTTTGCTGGAGTTGATTTTTTTTTAATTTTTAGCTAAAAATGATTTTGAAGAGTTTCATGCACATGCTTTAATAACCAGTTTTAGGTTCTCATTTTTATTATTAATTTTTAGGCTTTTTTAACGGGGTATCAAATGAGATCTTAATATAATAATAATACAGATGTCTCTCCTTAACCTTTATTTTATAATCTTTTTAATAATTGATAAAATTTTAATTCTCTACAATAATTTTCATATTATTATTGAAGCAAGACACTAATCTCTCTCATCAATCTTGATGTGTCAAAATGTATTAATAATAGGGACAATTACACAAAGTCAGAAAAAATAAATTACATATTAATTAAAAAATTTATAATTTTTATGGGTAATGCTAGGGATGCAATATTTTTTACCAAATGAATGAACAAATATCTCACATAGGTGTTGTGAGACATTCATGGTCATTCATTTAATAGAAAATTTAGGATCTAAAGCATTTTCCAATTTTTATTATTAATATTTATATAAATTTTCATTGATTTCAAATTTGTTTTGGAAAACTTCACTGATGTGTAGTTTCCCTTAATAATACTTGCAAGGCCATAATTGTAAGATAAATCTTCAAAAATAAAGGGCCTTCAAAATTCTCTCCGAAGGCAATGCTCTAACCTTGTTTTTTTGGAAGTTTGTTTAAGGAAAAACTACCATTCAATGTATTATTAGAAAAATAATTACATATTCATTGAAAAACTTACGATTTTAATAATTAACATTAATAAAATTTGCCACTAATATATATTTACTTTTGTAAAAAACCAATGGCTATGTTTGGTTTCATTTTTCTAAAAACAGTTTTCCGAAAATTCTACTTTCTTAATTTTCGTGTATTTGGTTTTTACTGAAATTTTTTTAATATTTTATGCTAATTTTTTACTTTTTAGACAAACCTAACATAAATACACCTAAAAAGTAAAAAAATTGTAAAAAAAATCTTTTAAAAATTCACAAAATACCAAAAATACAAAAAAAAATACAAGAATTCAATACATTTTTATATATTTTTATGTATTTCTTAATTTTTTAAAATATTTTTTCAATTTTTTTTTTTACTTTTTAGATAAATCTAAGTAAGGTACATCTAAAAAAAAAAAAAATGTTTAAAATTTTAAAAATATTCACTAAAAACAAAAAAACACGAAAACTAAAAAATTCAATTTTGAAAAAACTTAAACCAGAAAATTCAAACCAAACACACTAAATGATACTTTTCCCTATGTTTAACACATTTCTTGAGCCTAAATAATCATAAAAGAAATACGTATTAAACATGTAAATAATAAATAGGTGTATTACATACATTCGTAAAAATATGAACAATTTGATTTGCCACAAACAAAGATTTAAAAATGCATCAACAATTTCCCCAAATCATATAAGTGATTCCAATAGGATTTCCCAACTTCCTCTAGGAAAACTTTGAGGTAAACAACAATCCACATAAAGAAAGACACAATATTACTGAAATTCTTGATGATGAGATTCTCATTTCTTTCTTTATTCCTGCCATCCAAATGGTGTATGGAACGAAAATCTGATGATCTACCCATCACTCTACAATGTGTACTGCAAGTGTTGAAACAAAATGTTTTTTTTTTTTGGGTACTTCATGTTCTTCAATAAGATAAATCTTCATTCCCATTAAACCCTCTACAATGCATGCTTTTCCACATAGCTTCTCACTCCCCTTAATTCAAAATTGGGACTATCAGTGGTTTCATCTGCGCAAGATACACAATTGCCCACCTAAACCAGAAAAAGAAATACACAATTTAATTGGATAAAACATACAGAGACAATGAAGCATTAACGGCATTAATCTGTTCATGCCTAAGATCATAATTCAATAAAAATGCAAACCAAAAATGTAGAACAAGTTAAAAAAACTGATCATTGTAAGAGCAACATTTCAATATTGAAAATTAAGTCAAATCCGTACTGTTCCATGAAATGAGATAATAGCATAACAAATGAGTTCACAATATGGGAATCCGAAAGTTTATAGTTGGACAACAATACATTAATCTTGTGGTTTCAATGGTAACGCCCAAATAACCTCTTTGCTTACTAATTCAAACTTGAGCTTCAACTACGGAGAAACATAATAATAAAGGAAGAAACAAAGTTCACTACGAAAGAAAGAAAAATGTGTACATTGAACTAGAAGAGTGGAGGAAAGAAGACGGCATAAAGATGGAGCCTTGAGGATGAAAGCTTGTCAAAGGGAAAAAGAAAGAAAAAAAAAGATAAGCAAAGGCGGAAATTAAAACAAAGATCAGAAGATTAATGGTGCACAAACAGCAGCATAGAAACAGGAAACCCTCCAGTCAAATACCTGTTTGTTTTTCAAACAGGGAATAAAAATGATAGAAGATCTACCACCTATCTGTGAATGTGCTGTACACGCTATGGACTATAAGAATGTATTACAACCTAATAAACTAATAAACTCACCCTCTTCCTTGAGCACTTGTCCAGCACCTGGATGACATCAGTACCCAACCCCCTTGACTTGGGAATAAAATGATGTGAGGAACAAAAAAGATCTACTGCCACAACACCCATTTATGCATGCCAAAGTGTTGTATTCTAATATGGACTATAAGATGGTTGAAGTTATACCGCGTCTGTAAAGGTGGTGTACAAGCCCAAGACCAGAAGAATGTTTCACAACCTATTTAAACTAGTCCTCTTCCATAAGAACTTGTCTAGGATATTGATAACGTTATTAACCTGTCCCAACCCCAATAAAACAAATAATACATGCTACCTGATGTGAGGAACCAAAAGACGTTATTAATGTGCTAAAACTCTTATCACATTGGTCTGAATACCACAGAAAAGATTTTAACTCATATACTCATCAAGATTTCATTCTCTCTCATCATGTTGATCCTAATACATCGGATAAAAAGTATAAACTATGGTCACTTATTCACTAGTAGTTCCAATACTAAGCGACTGAGAGGAAGGCACATTCTGTTGAACTCCCTACTGTAAAACAGTAAAGTTCCAACAGTGAAAGATGTGGCAACATAACTTCATGTCTTTTGGAAATAACCACAGCTCCTATGGTTTGTGGATTCAAATGCACTGTCACAATCTCTATGGAAATTAACGGGAATCAAGGGATAGATTTTGGAATGTTGGACAACTAATAAACAACACATTCATGAAATGAGTGCAACTAAAATGCGGATGTTTAGATAAATGTGTGGTAAGATTAAGAAAAAGAAATAGAAATGGATAATATATCCATGAAATGGTATAAGTAGCACCAATGGAAGATAGTTGAGAAAGAACGTGCTAAAATGGATTGATCATGAACAACAAAGAATGATAGATGTAAATGTCAGAAAGTGCGATATGATCACCATAAACGGAAATGTTGAGTGGGGAGGAGAATATCTAAACTGACATAGGATGCAGTAAAAAAGTTTTAGTATACAGCCCTTGACACAACGGAATGCCAAAAAAGGATTCATGCAGCCAACCATAACTTACAGGGGCATAAGGCTTAGGGGTGGTTTGGGATGATCTAAATAAGGGCACTTTTTGACTTTTCATAAAATATGAATTGAGTTTGAAGTGATGTGATAGAGAGGTGATGTGACTTAGGGTTGGTTTGGCATAAACTAAATAATACAAAAAGTCAAAAAGTCACTATTCTATTTAAGTCACATCATCTTATTTAAATCACATCACCTCTCTAACCCATCACATCAAACCCAACCCAAACCTAACCCATATAAACCAATAAGTCAAAAAGTACACTTTTTTATAACATCCCAAACCAACCCTTAAATAAGATGATGTGACTTAAAAAGGATATTGACTTTTTTAGGTTATGACAAACAAGGCTTTAATTTGGTTTGATTTAAGAGGTAGATCTCATTCTAGCAGGTTCATCTCCAAACCTTACTCTGGCAGGTTCATATCCGACTTGGATATGAGGGGTTGTTTGGAGTGTCCTAAATAAGTGTACTTTTTGTCTTTTTAGACTAAAAAGTTGAGGTTGAAAATATGAATGTTTGGGTTAACTTTTTGACTTTTTATGAAAAAATATGTATTAAAAAATTGTATAAATTAATGTGTAGGGGAAAATTAGTATTGGGAGTTATGCAGCCGTAATTGTTGACTTTTGGTGAATAGTGATAACTTTTTAACCTTTTGAGTAACTTTTTGACTTTTTGGCTTTTTGACTTTTTTGAGACTCCCCAAACTTGGCCTTACTCTCTGCAACCAGCCTGCCATGTCAAAATTCTGTTTTGTATTGTTTGTTTTCAGATGTTTTGTATGGATCAATTATATGATGAAATGCTCATAGTAAAATATCTGTTCCTAAAATGTGTAGACAAAACACCAAAAAATAGAATGATAACAATTATCTTCCTCAAAATTTTTATTTCATACCAAAAGAAGCATAAATGCAGATGTACCACGGGTCTTCCAAAGTCACAGTGTGTAAACATTACATTGGATGATGTCATGCAGTATAATTTGTGTAAAAGATAATATACACTTGGATTTTGCAGCCAAAAAAAAAAAGACGAAATTCAACTAAAAATAAGACTTACATCATCCAACAGCATACTGTTGCAGTAATAACCAACGTTAGGTGGAACCTGCAAAACAAAAAAAAAGAAAACAAAATTACTTTAACAAAAAGCGAATTCTAGGAAGAACTTGCATCACATAATATACATTAGCCATAAGTAGGTGAGGAGGGAAAAACTTTAAAATAATTCAATAGCAGCTGAAATAAATTGTCCAAAAGCAAGGCAAATAAGATGGCTTCACAAATCTTGTTAATCAGCTCAATGAAACATATGAATCAAAACATACATTTTTCATGATTTTAAGAACCAATAGACATTAAGGCTCCAATTTCGTGGGTGGATTTTAAATGGAAGGATTTGAAGTTGAATTTTATAAAATTATAAGAAGATTAGTTATTGAAGGTAGATGATAACTCTAAAGTGGATGTTTGAATATAGGCATATTTCATGTATTTTGTTAAGATTTTTGTACAAGTAGAATCTTTTATGGAAGGATTTCAAATAACTATCCATCATTATAAAACTCTCAAATCCCTTCTTCATAACTAAATCTAAATGTTACATTGACTTAAAGGCTATACTCCTCAAATTATTCATGTCAAATCCATTCACTTCAAATCCATAAATCCAAAGGGAGCCTAAGGGATACCAACACATGTACAACGAATTCCAATCAACTCATCAGAACAGAAATATATGCCATTATACTAGCTCACCTTCACTAGAAAAGAAAAAAAAAGAAAAAAATCCTTGTCAGCCCAGTCAGACCAATTGCTAGTTCAACATCACAGTATATGCATTAAAAATCCAAATCAAACATTAAGGCCTCGTTTGGGAACATACTATTTTAGTAACTTTTTGTTTTTTGGCTAAAATATGCGGTAAAACAAAATTAGTATGTTTGGAACAACTTTTTAATTTTTTACAAAAAGATGTGCAAAAATTAGAGAAAAAATGAAATATTTGACTTTTTGGTATAGATTGTTGGCTTTTTAATTTTTTTAGTAACTTTTTAACTTTTAAGCTAAAATATTGAGTTGCCAAATGAGGCCGAGTACATTCCACATCTCTATATTAGTTTTGCAGGATCTTATGAAAGAGGTAAGAAGCACCTCTCAAATCTAGCAGTTCACTAGTTCTTGTTGGGAAAGGAAAAAAGAAAAAAGAAAAAAGATTGTATTTTGAGAAAACAAATAGAAATACTGCTTCAACACTTGAGTTGCCAAATGAGGCCGAATACATTCCACATCTCTACATTAGTTTTGCAGGATCTTATGAAAGAAGTAAGAAGCACCTCTCAAATCTAGCAGTTCACTAGTTCCTTTTGGGAAAGGAAAAAAAAAAGAAAAAAGATTGTATTTTAAGAAAACAAATAGAAATATTGCTTCAACACAAAACCAAAGGATTGGCTGAGCGGTAAAAACTTGAGGATAAGATCTAAGTTCTCGAGTTCGAGTCACTGCAAGGGCACTCGGGGTTTGCTCGGTCGTTAACTTCAGGACGCTGTGATTAGTCGAGGTGCATGTAAGTTATCACAAAATTAGGTTCTTCAAGTGATTCTAAATGCAGTTCATTGGAAAATCTAGGACCCAATACCAAATTATGGCCTTTCTATGCGGACAAATCCAAAACTTACCACAATCCAATTATGACATATTAATTGAGTCAACTAACATCTACATCAAACAAAGTATTTAGCTTAAAACAAAAATCACCAAATGGGGTTTGCTAAAGATGAAAATTTCAATACACAAATCTGGAAATAATTAAGAAGACATTGAAAGGAGGTTGAATTGAAACATACAGATTTGCAGAAGGCCCTCTATTGCAGCAGATTCTGGTACAGAGACATGCAATAACTCCGATCACAACAAAAATTAGGGTTGTCACCAAAAACCCCATTTTGATTTGATTTGATTTCACCAATTGAAACCTCTCTGCAAACAAAAAAAACATTAAATTCAAATTCGATCTAAACTAAAGAAATCAAAATCATGATTCGATCTGAAACTACAATATCAAATCGTAAACCCTCGTAATTTTAATTTCGTCCGCAAAATCTAAATCCGAACGATACAACAGAATTGGAACAACAACAAAAGAAGATTATAAATAGGACATTATACACATACTGATTAGAGAAGATAACCTTGAATCACTGCTGGAAATTAGGTTTTTAGTGGCGTTTAAAAAACGCCGCTATAGCTATCAAAAACGCCGCTAATTGTTTTCGTGACGTTTGATTCTAAACGTCGAAGATGCGGCCGTCGCTATAACTTTATGACGCTTTTAAAGCGTCGCTATATTTAGTATAGGCGGCGTTTTTTAAAAAAAACGCCGCTAAATATGCTGCATAAAGGTACAATGACGTCACGCAATATTTAGCGACGTTTTGAAAACATCGTGGTAGATCTTTTTATTTTAAAAATATAACCATTGACATCATCTATAGTGACGTTTGAAAACGCCGTCATAGCTTCAATTTTTTTTTTTTTTTAAATTGTGCTAATTCTGTGAAATTTAACGAAAACAAATTACCTATAATAAAGATGAAAAATATTCAATATATTAACTAAATTTAGGTAAACATAATACTAGATCAATTCATGCTTCTCAATATACAAAAATATTTCAATTCCTAGATGAAATAAAATTAAACTAGTGCCTAGTGATAAGTTGAAAGTTATTACAAAACAAATCAACACAAAAAAAAAGGGGAAAAAAAAAAGATCAATCATGTACCCTTTACAGCTCGGCACAAAAAAAATCAAGATATTTAAATTGCATGGATGAATGTCTAGCATAAAAAGAAGGGGGGGGGAATCAACTGTATGCTATACAACATAGTTGCAAGACCAATCATGTACTCTTTACAGCACTGGGAAGCAAGTTGAAGGCTTCATCCTCTTCTTCCAACTTCTTTTCCTGTTGACAAAAAAAAAATCCCAAGACTTAGTAAGTACTGATGGTGATAAAATAGTATCCAAATTCACATGTTTTGAGTTCCTATGCTGCCTTGACAAATTCACACTGCAGCTATGATGTGGTCAAATAGCTATACCTCTGGATGATTTGTTATGACATCAATTGGTCCAACAGTTTAAAGTATATAAATACTGAAGCTCAAATTCCAGCAAAATTATAGTTTGCTTTTGAATTTGAGCCCTATCAAATTCTCGTCAGATCAATACAGCCAGTGCCTAGCCTTAACACTAAACAGATTTTAGGTAGGCATGCCAAACCAGCCATTTAACTAACTTATCTCAAAAGAAGAAAAATAGACATTCAAAGATTTTAATATATATATATGTATATATCTAGAACTTATTACTTGTGTTAATTTTCAGTTCAATGAGTTAAGGAGGCAACCTGAATCAAAACCTATTATGTTCAAAAGTGAGTAGAAGATTACTTGAATGCAGCCCATCCAAAAAAAAGGTCAAACTACATGCTTACTTCAGGCAGTTTTGCAGGTATAAATTAGTATTGGCAGCTAAACATAAATTCAATCCCACAATAGATACTGCTGCTGCCACTCACACAAATCTAGTACATCACAAAAGTGACCAAAATGGCAATTCGGCTTCATTGTTCAACGCCTACGCAAAATGCATTTACACCCAAAAGGTTGAAATAATGAACTAGCATAAATGACCTTACCTTTTCCTCAGCTGAGTGCTGCAAGATCTCCAGCATTGCATCTACATTGATAGTTGCTTGTCTTGACTGAAAAAGCAGAAAGAAGACTTGTTTTAGTATGCTAAGATTTTCAGCAGAATATTCAATCAACAAGCTGTTCTTTCTCTAAGCCCCCAAAGTTGACTTTATTCCAGGAAAATCAATTCACTGTGATGGAAGCATACCTTCTCACATCAAGAGCAACAAACGGAATAAGCCATTCTGAAAGAAGCTGTGCAATGACTAAACATAAATTCAATCCCACAATAGATACTGCTGCTGCCATTCACACAAATCTAACACATCACAAAAGTGACCAAAATGGATTTACACCCAAAAGGTTGAAATAATGAACTAGCATAAATGACCTTACATTTTCCTCAGCTGAGTGCTGCAAGATCTCCAGCATTGCATCTACACTGATAGTTGCTTGTCTTGACTGAAAAAGCAGAAAGAAGACTTGTTTTAGTATGCTAAGATTTTCAGCAGAATATTCAATCAACAAGCTGTTCTTTCTCTAAGCCCCCAAAGTTGACTTTATTCCAGGAAAATGAATTCACTGTGATGGAAGCATACCTTCTCACAAATAAAACTCCATAAAGGTATGATCAAAAGATCCTCTCTAAAACTGCATCATCCAAGAGGCATGGTCAAATGGTTTTAAATTTTGAGCAAGAAACAAGGTCACAATAGCACCTGAGAACATACATTTTAAGTATCATGTAATGTAATGATCTTGTTTGTTATTCACATTAAATTAAAACAAATATAAATTGATGAATGGAAGTTTAACGGTAATTCAGCAGTTTGTCATATGTAGGAAAAGACTATCAGCTATTTTCAAAATGACGCATGCATCTTTGAAATGTAAATCGATCAAGAAAATGAAGGAAATTGAAAGAATTACAAAGCAAATACTCACAATTTCTCCGTGTAGGTCAAATTTCCTAGAATAGGAGGGATAGGTCCACTCAGAATGTTGCAGCTTAAATCTCTGGATCAAAATTAGGATAACGACACAGTTAATCTCAGTCATCATTCTAAAATTAGATAGAAATTAAATGAGAAGAGAATGGAGAAAGAGGACTTACAAGAGTTTTAAATTTGGAATTTGGGACAAGGTTGAGGAGACCCAATTAATTGATTGTTTTTCAAAATTCTGGGGAGACCCATTCCAAAGAAAGGAAGAAAAAAATTATACAAGACAGAATTAACCCCATAATCAAAGGTCTGAGTTGCTTTAATACTTGCTTGTCAGTTGTTCTTCGAGTTTGATTGAGAAGAACTAAAGAGTAGTGTAAAAAAATGAAAACTACTGAGTTATTAAAATATCAAGTAATCGACTCTAATCATCAACAGAATTAGCGCCATAATCAAAGGTATGAGTTGCTTTAATACTTGCTTGTCAGTTGTTCTTCGAGTTTGATTGAGAAGAACTAAGAGTAGTGTAAAAAAATGAAAACTACCGAGTTATTAAAATATCAAGTAATCGACTCTAATCATCACTAGAAGAGTTTTGGTTAATTCATCCATAATACTAGCTACTGAGTTTAATGTTGGTGGTGATTAGATTGTGGTGGTGTTGATAGAGGGTTTGGTGGTGGGTTGTTTTTGTGGTGGTAGCGTTGGAACAGTGGTTGGTGGTGGTGTTCAGCTGTTGGGAATAAACAATGAAGTGGAAAGAGGTGATAGTGTTTGGTGGTGAGGGTTGGGGTAGGCAGAGAAGGAGATGGTGCCGGAGGGGGATGTGGCTGTGGTTGATGCCAGGGGAAAGAGCAAGGCTAGGCAGATATGCCATGAGAAACACAGAAGAAGAGAATGTTAGAATGTAGCACCAACTTCTCGCAGAGGTCAAATGCTTGAAACAAGAGACATTTTTCAAATTGAACATTGAGCCAATTTAACTGCAACTTGTCAATAGAAACACACCATCAGTGCCATAATCACAGATACTAAAATACAAACAATTATAAGCATACATATATACATGAGTACATAGAGAGACTTTGGTAATGGCTTCCCTCAAGGCATCACTCTGAAGCTTATGTAGAAGAGGAAAAAGCAGCCGCGTTAGAAAGGATAAAAATGAAAAGTAGCAATAGAGACACCTGCATTTCTAAAATGTAAAAAGAGCAAATGAATTCATACTAGTTGTTCGAACCCAGCTACATAATGTGGAATCCAAATATTAGGGACTGTATTTATTTCATCAAAATTTTAAAATCTTTCTTATCAAAAAAATAAAAAAGCAAAAGCTATTTTCCAAGAATTCCACCATGTTGGCACTGAAAAAGTATTAATTTCCTCATGGTTACGACTACACTTCAGAAAATTAGCTAAATGAAAGCCCTTCAATCAGGGGGGGAATCTGGACAGAGATAGATGGGGATCAAAAGTATTAATTTTTAGATTTTGTATGCAATATCTTATTGATTTTTGGCTTACGCATGTTATCTTATTATTTGTATGTTTTTATTTAGTGATTTCATTCATCACAAAAAAAATGTTAGTTAAGTTCAAGTTGATTGGTTTATAACCGTGTATCAATCGAGTATACATAACAATAACATTACGACAGTTCTATGAAATCTGGAATCAACACATTGTGGGCCATAAATGCTTCATAGTTTTTTTAAATAAAATATTACTTTGTCCCAAGTGTTCCCTTATGAGAAAAAACCAAATAGAAAAAACCAAAAAAACAAAGTCCCCAAATTGGGCCATAGGTAGTGAGAAAATTGGCAAATATAAACGACAATCACTGAACAACACGGAACATAGTATTTTAATTCATGCCATAAAATACTCGAATTACTCCCGTAAACACAATTATAGCATCATCCGCCTTAGTCCCATCTTTCGGATATGATTCACGCCATCTCTGCCAGATTGTCCTCACACTAAATTTTGGAATGAACTCAACCTTCAATAAATAAAACCAATCCATAAGAATCAAAAGTGCTGCAACAGAACAGAACTTCAAATAAAAGGCAAGCCTGTTTTAGCATAAACAAGCAACCTAAGTTTGAAATTGAAAGCCAACTTTGTGAAACAACTATGAACATGAAATAGAATGGATTACCGTGGAACCCGTATAGCGAGGGGCAAGTAAAGCATTGAAAAACCCATGAACATGTACAGAGGGCAAGTTAAGGATCAATCAAACGTGAAATTATTATATAAAAGTTTTTCCGAAACATAGACCCAGAAACTGAATACATGTTACAAATATTTTAAGAACAGTCAAACCTAGCATTGCTGTAAAAAACTATGTGTACAAATGAAGGGAGCAAGCAATCTTCAATTTAAAAAATTACCACTCAATGCTAGTGCTGCAACACACATTTAACAGATTTACCAAGCGAATAGAAAATTAAGCACCCAAGAGAAAGCAATATTCAATTTAAAAAATTACCACTCAATGCTAGTGCTACAATACAACACACATTTAACAGATTTACCAAGTGAATAAAAAATTAAGCACCCAAGAGAATGCAATATTCAATTTTAAAAAATTACCATTCTCAACAAGTACTAGGGCTACAGGAGAAGTTAAAGATTCACCAGGTGAATAAAAAAATTAGACATCAAAAGCATTAGTGGAATCTAAAATCCGAGTAAATACAAAGCATTGTAGTCTCTTCCATGGCTTGGATAGGAGTAAAAAAGCCCCACAAAATATACTTTAAAGGCGATCTCTATCTTTGGAAATGTTTGTCTATAGTTTCCTATTTATGTCTAAAACCCAGGAAAAAAAGGGGCAAAAAAAAAAGAAATCTAACAGAGAACAAGAAATGGAGAACTTCAACTTGAGCTTGGCATATAAACAAACATGTAATATCCACAAATAAATCCAAATATACATACACACAAGATTTGAAGGTAGAGAAAGTGAAGAGATTGGAGATCTGTACCTCAAGCTAAAGAGAATCTTGAAAAAAAAAAGTAAATGTATGTATGGGTAAGTATATATTCAGAGATCTTTCAACTTTTTCAACATAACAGACCAAAAAACGATGTGTTTAGACACAAATCAACTCCTCCTCCTCCTCCTCCTCATCCTCCTCCTCTCTCTCTCTCACACACACATCCAGACTTGAAGCAAATACTTAAATCTAGTTCAACGAAGCAGAGAGTAAAGAAAAGAAGAAAGCCACAAATCAACTTGTAGTTTCTTGCTTACAATTTCAATTTCAATAACCAAATTGAGAGAGACGGGAAGGAAGAGCGAGAGAGAGAGAGAGAGAGAGATACCTCACTGGTGCAGATGGCGGTGGCAGTGCGGCTTCGAAATCGAAATCAGAATTACAGAGTCAGATGAAATCGAAATCAGAGAAATCGAGCCGGTGCAAACGGTGGTGGAGGTGGAGCTTCGAAATCGAAATCGCTTTGAATCTCAAAGACGAATCTGTGAGAATGATAAGGGTTTAGAGATGAATCGAGAGAGAGAACTTCGATTAGGGCTACAGCGAGAGATGAATCGATAGGTTCAGACGGTTTAGAGAGAGAGAGAGAGTGAGTGAGATTTTAGGGCTACAAAATATGTATTATATTTTACAGCTCCGATTCATACCACTAAAACTTGAGCACTAGGAGCAGCTCTAATTACGTGGCATCCAAGAAGGGAGGAAAAATGGCACTTTCATATTACAGTGCGTGTGTTTCACGTACTGTGATTAGGAAAAAAAAAAAAATTTCCCGCTCAAAAATCTGATAACAGAGGAGAAGAAATCGTGTTTCAACTCTATTCCCGCTGAAGCTGTGATCGGCGTCCCTCTCCTCCACCGTGTAAATTGTAACGGGATTTCCACCGCCGTCCCTCTCCTCCACCATCAAGCGTTCATTTGCTATCTCCGTTTGCAGATTTCGTGTCCCTCTCTGTCTTCCCTCTCTTGGTCAAGCATTTGCAGATCTCTCCCTCTCCTTCGTTCAGGTCAATTTCTGTCCGGTTGTCGTCCCTCTCCTCCACCATTTAAATTGTAGTTGTATTCTGTAATGAAATATATATATATAAACATACATTGAAGAAATTTTTATAATCTGTTAAACATACATATATATATATATATATATATCAGATTATAACATACATATATATATATATATATATATCAGATTATAACATACATATATATATATATATATATCACTTCCATAGATAAGCATATGAGCTGTATCACCACATTATTTGACAAGCATATGAGCTGTATCAGTGGAGTCCATCCCCTATCTCCTCCCAAACAACATCCGGTTTAGAGGTCCATCCCCTATCTTCCCCTAAACCGTGGAGTACATCCCCTATCTCCTCCCATACACACAACGTATATACACAATGGTCATATACACAATCAATCAATACATAACGTTAATGTATTCTATCAACCGTCATACTCTATGACATATCCAATTGATTAGTTTTAGTTTGCCTAATCATCATACATTGTCTACAACAATCAAAACTACCCTCCATCGGTAGCCCAAGCAATTGTTTCTAAACAGATAATAAAAGCTCCAACAGATAAAATATCAATGTTTTCAAAAATGAGCGATTTATAAACCCAACTCCATCATTTCACAACATAATGAGCCAATTTCATTATTTCCAACTCAATTCCATAAGTCCACAATTTTCCCAATATTAATTATACCAATTAATTTATTCAACGAATTAGGGCTTTCCACCCCATTTCCCAATATTGACCCAATGGCCTATATAGCAACAACCGACAATAAAATCATTATTTTGAAACCCAAAATACATGTTTAAGAATCAAAATAACAACTCTCGTTTATACCCTTTTGAAACCCTAAGTCCCAAAATCAACCAACTTCAACACTTTATCAAAACTACCAATAATCTATGTCGAAGACCACAATAGTGAGTAGGAATCCCTACCTCAAATTCGGAGCTCAAGGGAAGAAGATGACAAAACTCAACGTGCTCCAAAACTCGAAATTTTCGGATCAAGGTAAAGCCCTCGATGATCAACCCAACTTTCACGTCATTTTGCAATGAATAAGAAGATTCTTACTCCTGTGAAGAGAAGATTAGAAATTAATGATCAAGCAGGGATTGGGGTGTCTAGAAATTATCACTCAATGGTTGTTGAAGCTGGGGGTTATGAGTCATTAACATTTGATGAGCGAGATGCACGAAATTACATTGACAAAGCTAGAAAATTAAGGCTTGGAGAAGGAGATTCCGATGCACTTCAAAAATATTTTTTGAGGATGCATGCACAAAATTCGAGTTTCTATTATATGTTTGATGTTGATACTGACTTTCGCATAAGAAACTTGTTTTGGGCGGACGCAATGAGTCGGGCGGCTTACAAAGAATTTGGAGATGTTGTTTCATTTGACACAACTTACCTCACTAATAAATATGATATGCCATTTGCTCCGTTTGTAGGAGTTAACCACCATGGACAGTCGATTTTGCTTGGTTGTGGGCTGTTATCTAGTGAAGACACTGATACATTTGTTTGGCTGTTCAAATCATGGTTAAATTGCATGTCAGATCATCCCCCAAAAGCTATAATAACTGATCAGTGCAAAGCTATGCAAAATGCGATAGAAATTGTCTTCCCCAATATTCGACATCGATGGTGTTTATGGCATATCATGAAGAAAATTCCGGAGAAATTGAAAGGGTATTCCCAATATAAATCCATGAAGATGGATTTGCAAAATGCAGTGTATGACACATTCACAAAAGATGAATTCGAGATGAAATGGAAAGAGATGATTGCAAAATTCAATCTTTATGAGAATCAATGGTTGGGGGTGTTATATGATGAGCGACAACGATGGGTTCCTGTTTATGTCAAAGATATTTTTTGGGCTGGCATGTCAACGACACAACGAAGTGAGAGTATGAATGCATTTTTTGATGGATATGTCAACCCAAAGACTACATTAAAACAATTTGTTGAACAATATGACAATGCCTTGAGAAGTAAGGTAGAGAAAGAGAAGAAAGCTGACTTCAAGTCTCGGCACAAAGTCTTTGATTGCCTAACTGTGTATGGCTTTGAGAAGCAATTTCAAGATGGCTACACCAATGCAAAATTCAAAGAAGTTCAAGCAGAGATGAAGAGCCTAGTTTATTGTCAGCCGTTTATGGTAAAAGAAGAGGGTTCAATTTGTACATATTTTGTAAAGGAAGCTATGGTACTTTTTGGGAAGATGAAGCATGTGGACTTTGTTGTCTATTATAATTCGACCGAATTTGATGTGCAATGTATGTGCCGGTTGTTTGAATTTAGGGGCATCATGTGTGCTCACTCACTCGTTGTGCTCATTGCAAGATGTAAATGAGGTTCCACATAAATACATTCTACCACGATGGCGAAAAGATTTGGATAGAGGGTACACATGCATAAAAACCATATACGCTGGCTTTGGGGATGATTTCAATGCAAAGGTGTATGAGAAGATGAATAGAAAATTGGTTGGCATTGTACAATTTGCTGGGAACTGTGAAGGGAAAATAAAACTTATCGACCGTGGGTTGGATGAAATCAAGGCAAAAGTGATGAAAGATGATGAAGGTGGTGGGAGTAATGTAGCACCTTCGACTAGTAATGTACCACCTATTACTAGTAATGTACCATCTTCCCCAATTGGCAGCATTAATAGACACACAATCAGTCATACCAAGTTGCTTAGTCCTTTGGTTGCTCGGCGAAAAGGTCGTCCAGTTACTAAAAGAAAGGTTGCCAAAGTAGATCAAATAGTGAATCAGTTGAAGGCAAGCAAAAGAAAACATAACAAATCAAAGGTAAATTGGTATTCATTACTCTCTATTCAACTCATATTTTATTGTAAGCATGTCATACATTTGAGGCATTCATTAACTTTTATGAATATAGGGTACTAAGGTGCTTGGAGGTGAAGGTGAAGGTCAATGTCAATCTCAACCTGAATGTAGTGTACGTAGAGAGCTTTATCCTTATGTGGTTGGCAAGGAAAATAATATGTGTGTGCCGGTACGTATACATCATAGGATTTTGCATTGAGCAATTTATGTTATTCTCCAATTTATTTTAACATTTCATTTTAATTGAATAGGGACACATGGTCAATGCTATTGGAGGCACATCTCTCACCCCGACAAGTGTGGACATTATGAGAAGACAAAGTTTCATAAATCCCCCAACTCAGATTTATGGAGTTGGCACATCGCTTACCCCGTCGGACTGTATTGGAGGCACACCGGGATTTACGAGAACTCAACAATCCATGACTGCTACGCATCACATTTATGGAGCCGTACCATCTTCATTTGTTGACCTCAATGTACAAATGAACCACAATGACCGTGGCGGTAGTTTTCGTTAGTTGGAAGCTTGTAATTGTAATGCCTTTTATGTGACTAAACTTGGATTTTATTTTGTTTTGGATAATTTATTTAATATATTTTTGGATTGTTCAGTTTCTTTATTTTTTGGTTGAGAACAAATTGATGTTGTTCCCTACTTTGTTGTTATAGTTAATGTTCCCAATTGATGTTGTTATATTTGTGCTCTATTTACTACATGTGTTCCAAATCTGTGTGAAAAAAGCTGTTACAAATCTGTTAAAAACCTGTCTTCAAATCTATCTTGAAAAACCAGTGTGGAAAAAATATGTTCTCAAAACTGTGTGAAAAACCAGTGTTCAAAAAATCTTTTCTTCAAAAACCTATGTACAAAAATCTGTGTTCAAAACTATGTGAAAAAAACCTATCTTCGAATCTGCCTTGGAAAACCTGTGTGAAAACAAAAGTCTTCAACACTGAAAAACCAGTGTTGAAAAAATCTGTGTGAAACAATGTGAAACAAAACTTGTATTTGAATCTATCTTGCAAAACCTGTGTGCAGAAATGTCTTCAAAACTGTTTGAAAAACAGTGTTTGAAAAACCAGTGTTCAAACAATCTGTCTTCAAAACTGTGTTAAAAAACCTGTGTGCAAAAATCTGTCTTCAACAACCTGTCAATCTGTCAATGTGTCCAAATCTGTGTTGAAAATGTGTTGAACCTGTGTCCATATGTGTCCAAATCTGACAACAATGTGATTCAATTGTGTTCACAATCTGTCAATTTTCTGTGTTAACAATGAAGACAAAGTTGTGAAGCACCTGTGTTAAAATACACAACAATGTATGCAAAAATTTGTGAAGCACCAGACAAACAGAATCTATGTTCTAAATCAGTCCAAAATGTGTCCAAAATCAGCCCAAAATCAGCCTACAATCAGTCCAAAATCATCCCAAAATCTGTCCAAAATGCGCCTAAAATCTGTCCAAAATCAGCCCAAAATCAGCCTACAATCAGTCCAAAATCATCCCAAAATCTGTCCAAAATCAGCCTACAATCAGCCCAAAATCAGTCCAAAATCTGTCGGAAGTCAGCCCAAAATCAGTCGAAAATCAGCCCAAAATCTGTCAACAATCTATGTTCAAGCACACAAACATAAGCTATGAAGCACCTGTTCATAATATGTGTTAACAAGCTGTCCAAATCTGTGAAGCACCTGTGTTGAAATACAGAAATACATAAACAGAATCTGCCATGAGAATTTGTCCAAATCTGTCAAGAATGTGAGAACAAATTTTATTCATAATTTGTCAACATAATCTATGTTCGAAATCAGTCCAAATCTGTTAATAATCTATGTTCAAGCAGACAAACATAATCAATGTTCGAAATCAGTCCAAATCTGTCAATAATCTATGTTCAAGCACACAAACATAAGCTATGTTCGAAATCAGTCCAAAATCAGTCCAAAATCAACCCAAAATCAGTCCAAAATCAGCTCAAAATCTGTCCAAAACCTGTCCAAATCTGTTCATAATATGTGTTCAAACAGACAAACAAATAACTTTCAAACTTCCAATCAGATAACAAACAATCCACATGATTACATATTCATACTTGTCAATCCATAATTATAATATATAATAAATCTTCATAATTAATACAACACCAATTACATGTTCTAACTTGTATAAAAATTATTACATCTTCATAATTAATATCACACCAATTACAAGCAAGATGAAGATCCCATTAATACAACACGAATTTCTATTTATGTCTCTTTGCAATTTTTGCATCTGCGCATTCTGAAATTGATGTTGTTCGCTTTGAAATCGAAGATGTTCGCCCATACTTTGAAGTTGTTCGGTGACAGTCGGTGTATTCTCCATTCGCACTTGCCCTTCCTCCGTACGTTGTGAATTTGTAGGCAAGCACCATGCAATAAACCCACTGCAATCAGGACAACAATAAAATAGCTTATTCTTGTTTCGTTCCGTCTCCGAAATTCGAATGATTGCTTTTTTCCGACATTGAGGACAATTTCTGTTGCAATACGTCAATTGATCTGAGGTACTGCCATTAACACTTGAAGTTGACATCTGCAAAAATATGAAGCCAAATCTCAATCAGTTACTGTATTAGTCTTAGGACCTCTTGCTACAGCAATTGGAAATTTGAATAAGTTGACAAACCTGTAAGAAAATTTGGAGAAATTGTTGTTGTAGGGTATTGGCTTATAAGTAACATAGGCATTTGTAAGGCTTTGTATTTTTTATTTTTATTTTTGTTCTGATTAGAACGTGAAAGACTTCTATGAAAGTGTAAGTAAGCACTGTGACAGCATGGTTTCAATGTATTAGTGGCTTTCATATTTGAGTCATATTCCCTCATTGCTGTGTGCTCCTCATATTCCCTTGTGACATGACTCTTATGTGAAGGAATGATGGAATGACACAACCTTAAACTAACTCTTTACAAGTTCAAGTTATCAAAATTGCCTCATCCTTCTAAAAAGTTCAACCTGAACCTATTTCCAGAAACATGTCTGCTTCATGCTTCTAAAAAGATAAAATTTGATTTCGAGATCCTGTTTGACCCTTATATTTCAACCAGATGCTTCATTCTTTGAATCATCTAAGCTTTTACACATTTCCATTACAGAAAATTTCAGCTAAATTGCACATATGCTTTACTTACTATGTATTATGCAGTTGTTAGTTCCATGTCTTGGGTGCCCTTTTCAATGCTTCCAATTCCTTTTTCTGCAGGTCTCTTAATTCTAACAGTTTCTGCAGGTCTCTTAATTTTAATTATTGAAGTTTGAAAACTTTATCATTGATCTGAATTTTTTAATTAAATTTATTGTTTACAAAACTGCGATTCAAGTGGGGGAGGAGAAGTCATATAGCTTTTGATTCGAAACAGCCAGCTGCTACTCTATAGGCACTATTAAGTTATGATAGAAAAAATAAAATATACAGGATAAGAAACCACTGCTAATAACATCCATGTACAAGGATAGCATCTTTGGCCAAATCAAAAATTAGATAAGAAATTTCATTTGCTCATAAGTTACACTTGAGGAGGGTGCCTGGAGACACCACTCGAGCTAACAGTTTATCAGTTGATAATGAAATAGAGATGGTGCCAAAGCCTCCAATTTTATACTGATTGGTCATAGAAACTAATAACAGCAAAAGGTCCCTAATAAAAAAGAACTATTAATATGCATTTGGATGTTAAAAGTTAAACATAAATGAAAATCAAGAAAGGATGGCTTTCCTTCTTTTCCCCCCTTTTTTCTAATGTCAGAAGCTAAGCAAGGTTGAGAGTGGACACTTGCTAACTCCCAATTGAAGAAACTAAAAAATAATGCTAATACAGCTAACAAAAGCATGAAAAGAATAATCAAATAGCACTAATACATACAAATTTGGCATCATCACTATTACCAAACCAATATCAGATCAACATCACACCTCACATCATTCTCCAACTACTAAGAATGTGCGATTAACTCTTAAGAAACCTTTGAAGAAATGTCAAACAAGCAGCAAGGCAATTGCATTTAGCATAAGAATTTTTGGAATTTCTGGGTACAGTCAGCAATGCATGCTACTACATAGAGCATTGGGTTCCTTGCATTTTGACAAAACCACATAACACAAAGTTCAAGCAGATTACTAAATATAAAATTTTAAAAAAATAGCATTGAATAGACATAAAAACAAAGAAAATTTGAAAAACATAAATAGAACACAGTAAACCAACTGGGTATGCACCAGAAACTAGAAAATAATTACCAACAAAAATAAGTAAGTAGAAAAGGGTTCTCTTATTTTTACATAAGGAAAATCAAGAATGAAGCTAATCTGCTATTTTTACATAAGGAAAATCAATAATGCAAATCCAAGAAAGATTTGGCAGTGGCTTCAAGGATGATTAAACAATTTTATATATTCTCCACCAAATATATATTTTAGATTTTTTAGGCAAATCCAATGTAATGTAAAATTGGGGCAAACCAAAATCAAAATCAATTGGGGCAAACCAAAATCAAAATCAATTGGGGCAAACCAAAATCAAAATCAATTGGGGCAAACCAAAATCAAAATCAATTGGGGCAAACCAAAATCAAAATCAATTGGGGCAAACCAAAATCAAAATCAATTGGGGCAAACCAAAATCAAAATCAATTGGGGCAAACCAAAATCAAAATCAAAATCGTCCTAAACAGATGAAATCAAAGTGAAACACACAAATCAGGGCATATAGATATAGATATATACATAGATATAAATCAGGGCATGAAATCAAAGTAAAAAATCTCAACAAATCAGGGCGTATAGATATAGATACATACATATATATATATAGAGAG